GATTTTGACACTTAAGCATTCATGGGGCTGGAGAGATGGCTCAGGGGTTAAGAGTACTGGCTGCTCTTCCAAACATCCTCAGTTCAATACTCAGCACCCACATGGTGACTCAGAGCCATCTATAGTGGGAGCTGATGCCCTCTTCTGTCATGCAAGCATACATGCAAATAGAACACTCATGCACTTAAATAAATCTTTTTTTAAAAAAGAGAAGCATTCATTTGGAAACGTGAATATGTCATTTGTCATCTGACCAGGAATTGGGGTGATAACAATGGATGACATAGGATGTTGCACCCTCCCCGAAAAAAGTGTGAATACAGAAATAAACGGGGCAAAAAGCTGCTCTGAGCACACAGCCTCCCGATTTTGCTGAGAGTCGAGGCCTATCTCTGGTCCTCCCACTGAGTTTTGATCCTCGATTCTGGACTCATGTCAGCCTCCCCCTGTCACCTGTGCTGCCAAACACTGGAGAAGTTTCTCCACCTAGCACCTCAGGATTCTGAGCTCCCCTCCTGAGGCCTTGACTCTGCCCCCAACTTCCTCTCTGATTGGCCTTTTGCTTTAGTTTTTAAACTTGAGGCAGGGCTTTCCTATGTGGGCTGCAAATTCACTAGGGCTGGGACTGACTCCACGCCCAGCAGAGTCTGCTGTGGCTCTGCTCTCTTCGGGAGGCTGTCCCCACCTACTCCTCCCTGTCTTTGCCCTCTTCTCAGCCATGCCCTCTTCTGTTTTATCACTTCGGCTGCTAGCTGTCTTGTGCTGGGATCTACTTGGCATGGGCCTCTAAGGGGCGTGATCATTTTTTCCTTCTTTCCAGATCCTGTTCAGCTGGCTCCAGCTTCAAGTGTTATGCTGACGCCTGCTGTGGCTGGACAAAGGAACCCTGCCTTCCCAGATCATCCAACCACCATGCTTTTCCCTTCTGGTCTACCCCTGAGTTAATTTCACTTCTAAATCCACCCTTTCTCTCCTCCCCATCAGGCCCCTTGAGCCCTCATCATTAGCCACCCCACAGACGACTGGATGTCCCTGGCTGCACTGTCTCTCTCTTGCTGACAAACAAGGGGCCCTGCAAACATCTGCCTTAACATGGCCGTTCCCTGTTTCAAAGGCAAGTACCTAGTTGCTCAAGAGCCGAAAGGGGGGCTGGGGAGATGGCTCAGTGGTTAAGAGCACTAACTGCTCTTCTAGAGGACCTGGGTTCAGTTCCCAGCACCCACATAGTAGTTCACAACTGTCTGTAATTCCAGTTCCAGGGGTCCTGACACCCATGGCAAACATCAATGTGCAGAAAATAAAAATAAAAACGCTGGTCGGTGGCGGCGCACGCCTTTAATCCCAGAGCTCACGAGGCTGAGGCAGGTGGATCTCTGTGAGCTTGAGGCCAGCCTGGTTTACAAAACTACACAGAGAAACTGTCTCGGAAAACCAAATTAATTAATTGAATAAGGGAAAAAAAGAGGCCAAAAGACTTTCCCACGCTGTCAAGTACCACCTGGGATTCCTGTTTTGTTTTTACTGTCTTGAGGCCTTACCTCAGCCTCAAGACCTCTCTGGAAAACCACCTGTCCTTAGTGTCAGGCCCACGGAGGAAGCTCTCACTATTTGGCACCACCACGCAGGAAGGTTGGCCTCACCACTGCCTGGCAGTGGGAGGGGTGGGACAATGTTCCTACTGCTGGGGGCTGAGGTTCTGGAATTGAAGTGGTTTGCCTGAGGAGCCCAGCAGTGGTTCTTGGTGAGGTCTAGCTAGCTGTGCTCAGCTCTCTGGGGACCCAGTAGCTTCTCAAGCCTGTCCATTCTGTCAAGCGTCCAGCTCTGTGCGACACTGGTTTCTGAGGGACCAGTCCTCTGCTCCCCACTTCTGCTTTCACAGCCTCTTTGGGCCCGGCCTCTGGCAGTTCCCTTCCCTGCTTTAGCCCTGTTGCTTGGCTGTGTTGGCGATTACCCTGCTCGTCACTCTGGTCCCTGCCTTGGGCTGCACACGGGATTTGTTGGGTCTAGAAAGTCCACCCCTGTCATTACCCCAGAGGCTGAGGACCTAAGCTCATAGTATGAGGCCTTCCGACTCAGGCTATCAGGGGCTTATGGTGGGATGCCTTCCGGCTCTGGCTATCAGGGGCTTTCCTGTCATCCGCCCAGGAAGTGATAACTCTCATTCTCCACTAGGAAGGTTGATGAGAAGCCCCCATGGGGCCTTCTGGGTGACTCTGGGTGACTGATATCACACCAGTCTACTCTACCATAACTTCCTGTGGGGGCAGGGCCTTCCACTCGCTGTCACCAGCCTCCAAGTGGCTGGCTGGGGAGGAAGTGTAGGAGAGTAGACCCCGGACCCCAGAAACCTCCTAGCCAGCCTGCAGACCTTAGGAACATGACTGAGGACTCAGCAAGGCAAGGTGTGCGGGGTGGGGAACGCGTTCTGTCTTTCCCTTGAAAACTAGACAGAACCAGCGGGAGTGGGAGGAAGGCCAAAGAGAGAGGAAGTTGAAGAATTAACTTCTTTGGAACCAAACAATTAAGCTGTTGCCTGAGTCATTGTGACAAGGTTATCATGCATGGCAGGGCAGGGATGGCCCAGAGGTGCCAGGGATAGTTGTCATGTGTACCAAACGGGGGCATGGGGGTCATGGGGACTCACTGATCTCCTCCACGATCTTCAGAAGCACCCCACCAATGTGTGACTCCCCTGTGACTCGGAGGGTAACAGACTGGGCCTCAGGGTCCTCCTCGCCCACAAACACCCGCAGCTCCCAAGATGAGTCGATATAGTCCCCGGAGGCTGTCTTCATGCCCGCCATGGCTGTGGCTGCTTCTGCTGAGGCAAGGTGAACAGAAGCTGGGATCTGGTGGACTGCCTACAACTAAGCAGGGGCCTTATGGTATCCTGGCAGGTGGGTAGGCCCGGGGTACTGACACAGAGACACTGTAATCCAGCCAACCTGAGACCCTCTATCATGGGTGTTTGGCTGAAAGAACAGTTCCTTAGAACTTTCCAGCCAACTCAGGTCTCACAGATGGGAACACCAAGGTCCAATAAAGACTTATTCAAGCTGGGTGGTGGTGAGGAGGCACAGGCAGGCAGATCTCTGGGAGTTTGAGGCCAGCCTGGGCTATTGTGGTCCAGTTTGTATTAGCCCCATGCTGCAGGGGCCATCTGTTCCAGACTGAATAGGAGATATTGCCATTAATCCTAGAGACATTCCTAAGCAGCACGTACTCAAGCCCTCAGACCCTCCAAACCAGCACATCTCATTAGCCCTCAGAGTGGGTGTAGACTCGCCTTAGCCCAAGTCTTCTGTTATTCAGAAATAGGAGCCATTCCCCACGGAGGCCAGGCATCCAGTGGCAAGCAGCCGATATTTGAAGACTATATTAAGTTCTGAGGTCTTAGAAGTCATGGCTGAGTAGAACATATTTCTAAAATATTACGCGGGCCCCGACAGGCTACAAAGCAAGTTTCAGAACGGCCAGAGTTGTTACACAGAGAAACTCGGTTTTGGGAAAAAAAAAAAAACAACAAGAAAAAACCTCACTCAAGCCGGGTGTTGGTGGCACACGCCTTTAATCCCAGCAGTCGGGAGGCAGAGGCAGGCGGATCTTTGTGAATTCGAGACCAGCCTGGTCTATAAGAGCTAGTTCCAGGACAGCCTCCAAAGTCACAGAGAAACCCTGTCTCGAAAAACCAAAAAAAAACAAAAAAACAAAAAACCTCACTCAAGAGCACCCTGCTGGACACCAGAACAGGTCGACTCTCCTACTCACAGCTCCGCCAAGCCCACCTATCTCACAGAGCAAGCCCTGGCTCAGCTCTCGGCCAGCATTCTAGCCCACACAAGCCTCTGGTGTGGTAGCAAGTGTGGCTGCAGGCACAGAACTTACCTAGCTTGTAAGGGGCTTCAGCTGCAGGTGGCACAGGAGCACCTGTCACCCCCGGTCTGGAGATACCTTGTCCTGTTCAGTTGCTTCCTTCAGAGGTCAGCCCTTGGTGGCCTTATCAAGTAAGTTGTGCGAGTCTCTCCCCAGGGCGGGCTACTGCTGGGTACAGGAAGCACACTGCCAGCACGTACTGGGTTCCACGGGGGCCCTTGCTTTTGTTACCACAGGAAGTGAGGGAAGAGCAGAGGTGGGGTGACACCAGAGCTCTCCACACCCCACCTCTGGCTTCCACTGGCTGTTATCTTCAGACTGCTCTGAGTGGCAACACCTCTGGCCAGCAGGGAAGCCTTTTCATTTTCTCCTGCCCTCAAATAGGATGTTTCCAAACCTACAGTAACGTCAGGGCGTCCGCTCCTCAGTCAAAGCCTGTACGTGTCATGAAACCTCCCTGTGACTCCCTTCAGGACCTTTATCCTGTCTCATGGGCATTGGGATGCAAACTGCCCTATGTGTAAGGTCCCTAGTGCTACCTGAGCAGGAACCCATCGTGTTTAGGCTGAATGACCTTGGTGGTAGCTGACCCTTGTGGGAGGTAAGGCTGCTCTGGGGAGTCTCAGGGACTGGGGGTGGGACAGGAAGCCAGTTTATGCAAACACAGGAGAGGGAAGTATAGCCTGCTGCTGGCCTCAGCATCTTGCTAGCCCAGAAAGCAGCCTTCCGGCAGCAAATAAGGAAGTTCAGTGTTGGTCAGTGTGGGAGGAGGCCAATGGTATAGGGCTTAGGACTAAGCTAAGGACTAGGGCAGCAGAAGCTGTTGGTGGCACCATTCTCAGGTCTGTTTCCTGATCCACTTTGGCTCTGGGTTGGGTCTAGCATTCTCTACATCACTTGGTTTACTCTGAGACTACAGTGCAAAGAACAGCATGAGCATTAACTCAAAGCTCATCAGCCTGCAGGCCGAGCAACACTTCCACCTAGCGGCCACCCGGACAAAGCACAGCTCACTTTTCAGCCACTTTCTTTCAAGGCCACCAGGAAGAGAAAGGTCAGGACCCCAACCCAGAGCAAATGTGTTATCTTTAGGGAAGAAAAAAAAATCACTGGACACCATAGCAACATATAATCACGCCTGACTGGCTTGTTTTATTGAAGGACGTGGGGTAACAAGTGAAGACAGCTGGGACCCCAGGTAGGGAAGAATACCCTCCCCTCCCCGTATGCACCCACTGCCCCAAATAAAAAATAACCAACTATAGGGGAGCAGCCGAGACAGTGACGGGGGTTTGGGGAGGGCAGGGAAGGACACTCGAGGGCAGCAGTGAAGAGACCATGCGTGTGCTGAGAGGGTCCAAGGTGGCGCTGGATGAGTCTGTCTTCCTTGCAGGCATGTATAAATATAAAGATAAGCCTTTCTTCCCCCGCCCCTGCCCAGTGCTGCTCGCCACCAACCCAGCTCGCTTTCCACATTGGCGAAGGCAAGAGGGGAAAAGCAAGTTATCATCGAATTGCGATCAGACCCACATCCATCAGCTTCTGGATCTTCTGTGCTATTACAGGGTTCTTTAAGTGTCTAAGGAGAAAAGATGGGAGTTAGAGAGCTGCTATTTCCCTCTACCCAAGATCCCTGGCCCTCAGAGCAAGCTCAAATTAAAGACCCTGTGCAGGCAGCACCAGGAGAACCTGCCTGTCCTACTGTGTGTCTGTACGGCTGTAAGCCTAGCAAAAATGACCTTCCTGGGCTGGAGAGATGGCTCAGAGGTTAAGAGCTGCTCTTCCAGAGGAGGTCCTGAGTTCAAAACCACACGGTGGCTTACAACCATCTATAATGAGATATGATGCCCTCTGCTGGCAAGCAGGCATATATGCAGGCAGAACACTGTATACATAAATGTTAGAGAAAGTAGAAAAAAAGGCCTTCCTGAAAGAACCCTAGGCTGTCAAACTAATAGGAAAGAAAGCCTCTACACTGCCAAACTTTTCGGCTAATACTGAAAAAACTCAGGGCTCGAGAGACTGGTTATTGATGAAGAGATAGCTCAAGACACTGCTCTTGTAGACCTTGGTTTGGTTCCTAGCACCCACACAGTGGCTCACAGCCCTCTGTAAATTAAGTTTGAAGGGGGTCTGACACCCTCTCCTGACCTTTCCAAGTACCAGGCATACATGTGGTGGGTACATACATATGTGAAGGCAAAATGCTCATACATATAACCTAAATATACACCTTTGGAAACAAGATAAACAGTACTCTACCCAGACACATCCCTTTCACTTCCCCTGCACCCCCACTGGACTTACTCGCTCAGAGCCTGGGGGTCCTTCTGCATCTGCTCCAGGATGAGCCTCATGGCTGGGTCACTCATAATCTGCTGCACCTCAGGGTCAGCCATGGCCCGTCGCTTCACATCCTCAGGGCTGTCATGTCTGTTGTACTGCGCCATCATACAGCGCTGGTAACCATCTGCTGCCTCCTACATTCCAGAAAACACCAAGAAAGGCAGGAGTCAGTAACACCGCCTGGCCCACTGTTTCAGCAGATCACTGACAGGAAGAGACAAAGGAGCTGAAGCGTGTGGGAGGACATGAGGGGCCACAGCAAACAGCCCAAGGACCAACAGGTGGGACCCTTGCAGGCCAGCAGCAGCCTACCTTACAGCTGGAGTCCAGGTCTAGCGCCTTCTGGTACACATCCATAGCTTTTGTATAGTCCTTCATGGCTTCCAGGGCAGCTGCTTTCCGTGTGTAACCCTTGACTAGAAACAAGAGAGGTTAGGTACCAACTCAGCAGCTCCAGGCTGTGGGCTCCCCCCTTCTGCTTACATGCCCAAAAGTCTTTAACCTTAATCTCTGGGAGCACAATCAGGGCACGGGGGAAAAACAAAAGGCACTTACTAAAGGTTGGCTCCAGCTGGATGCACTCCTCACAGTCCTAGGAAGCAACAAAAGTAATTAGGCTCTTTTCCTCCAGGTGCTCAGCAGCCAGCTACTGTGCCCTCCTAAGGAGCCACACAGAGGTCTTGGCTTTGACCCTGTTGCTCCTGCCCAATTCAGACCCCTACTCTTCAAGAAGTCCCGGGAGCTTCCAGCTACCACATGGTGGCTCATAACCATTCACAATGAGATCTGGTGCCTTCTTCTGGTGTGCAAGCATACATGCCAAGCAGAACACTATACATAATACTTAGAGGGGGGGAGGGAGGGAGGGAGGGAGGGGGAGGGAGGGAGGGGGAGGGAGGGAGGGAGGGAGGGAGGGAGGGAGGGAGGAGAGAGAGAGAGAGAGAGAGAGAGAGAGAGAGAGAGAGAGAGAGAGAGAGAGAGAGAGAGAGAGAGAGAGAGAAGGGGGCTGGAGAGTAGTTGCTCTTCAAGGACCTGAATTACTTCCCAGCACCCACCGGGTAACTTGCAGCCATCCATAATTCCTATTTTAGGGGATCCAATGCCCAATTTCTGACCTCTAAGGACATCTGGTACACACATACATATGCAGGCAAAACACTCAAACACATTAAAAAAAGAGGAGGAGGGGAGGGGACGGAAGGGGAGGAGAGGAGAGGAGCAAGAAATATTAAGGATGAACAGGGAAGAAAAAAACCAGGGCATTCAGGGAGGACAGAGGGAGCCACAGAAGCTTATGTAGCTCAACCAAGGATTTTTTGCTTTTTGATAATTTCTGTGTAGCCCTGGCTGTCCTGGAACTAGTTATGTAGACCAGGCTGGTCTCAAACTCACAGAGATATAACTGCCTCTGCCCCTCAAATGCTGGGGGGGCACGCGCCAGCACCGACAGGCTCAACCACTTATTTTTTCATGCAGGAGTCGGCAGACACAGACCTTTGATTCCCCACAAGCACCACCTACAGCCAACCTAGAATCTTACTAAGAACACTAATCTGCTGAGGAAAGGACAGAAGGGAGGTCTGCCCCCATCCCCAAAGGCTTACAGTAACTCCATTGCAAGTAACACCCCAGCAGAGCTCCCCAGGCCTCACCTTGAGTGCCAGCTGAAACTCCAGGAGCTTGGTATAGCAGGCAGCTCGGTTACTGTATAGTTTGGCATCTTTTGGGTTCCGTTTAATGGCTTCTGTATAGTGCTTCATGGCCTGGGGGTAGTCTCCTAGATAGTTATGAAGGGGAAAAAAAAAGAGAAAGAAAAATTTCTATTAGCTCAGCTGCCTTGGAACTCATTGTGTAGCCCGGGCTGCAGTCCTACCTCAGCCCTCCCAAGTGATAGGATGTCCAGCTAACTAAGCAGGATTTGCTTCAGTTATTTTGACATAGGGTCTCACTCTAACCTAAGCTGTCCTGGAACCAAATGATCTGCCTGTCTCAGTCTCCCAATTACTGGGACTACAAGTGTATACCCTCACACTAGGGCTTTTAAGCAATAAGAATATAGGTCAGTGGTGGACAGCTTACCTAACATTTCAATACACTAAGTTCCTGCCTCTGCCTGAGTATTGGAATTAAAAAAAAACATAAGCCACACCAACCCCAAATGTTGGCTGGGGGGTAGTGGTATTCACCCAGCACTCAGGAAGTAGAGGAGGTGAATGTGTTTGAGGTCAGCCAGCACTAACACAGTGAAACTCTGTCGAGACCCCCCCCCCCCAAAAGCCACAACACTCAGCAGAAAGGAATTTATGATAGCCAAAAGCCATCCTCTCCCCTCTCCTTGAAAGTGCCCTGCAAGTAGGCACAGGAAGTCATACACCAGAGTCCAGGCCTCATGGACAGAGCTGGTACCTTTCTGGAAGCATTCATTGCCCTTGTTCTTCTCCTCCAAAGCCAAGTCAGGGTTGATGTACGCCAGTCGCTCTTGCTCCTTCAGGATTTTCTCTGCCTACAAAAACAATCATTGGCAAAGTAATTAAACTCTTACAAACATTTCAACACTGACTTGACTGAAAAGCCAAATTAGAATTTAAAATTTTTCTTTTCTCTACATTTCTGTGTGCCTGTGAGTCTGCACACTGCACAACCTCTTCACATGAAGATCAGAGGAGGTTCTCTTGAAGTTCCCTGGAACATATGGGTTCTATGGACTTAACTCAGGTCATCAGGCTTGGTGGTCAAGCACCCTAATCTGCTGAGCCCTTGGGTGGTCCCTAAATAGGATTTAGCTTTTCATAGTTCTAAGGCAAGATTTTCACCTCATTCCTGGGCTGGGGATGTCACTTGGTGGAGCACACAGGCACCACAAAAATACCCACTCCCTTTAAAAAAATTTCTACTTATCAAGCTACACAGTTAAACAGCATAGTACTTGCATACATTTGATTAAAAACTACGCCCTGTTTAGGCTGGGGATGTAGTTTAGTTGTAGAGTACTTGCTAACACACATGAGGACCTACACCCAAACACCAGTACCACACAATTCTTGTTGCTGCAGCCCATACATGTGATCTTAGTTTTCATGTAGTAGAGGCAGAATCGTAAGGAGGTCAAGGTCATGGGAGACCATTTTAGGGTTGACATTCTTGTTTAAAAAAAAAAGGGGGGGGGCGGTCTGCCAAGCTGGTGGAAGAGAACTTACTACCCTAAGTTGTCTTCTGACCTCTATACCCTATACCGGTTCATGTACCTACCCCCACATAAATGTATAAAATGTTAAAAACAAATGAAGAAAAACAAGAGAACAACTCTATGAAAGTAAAACAAGGCACAATTTTCTGATAGTATGTTTTTGGGGGGGGAGGGTAGTCAAAGATGGGTTGGGATCCTTCACTATGCTACCCAGGCTGACCTTAAACTGCTACCTTGTCTCCAAGGTAGTTCATAACACAGTCACGTGCCACCATGCTAAACTTGACAAATCATTTTGTGAAATTACCACCTGTGGTGGTTTGAGTAAGAATGACTCCTATAAGCTCATATTTGAATGCTTAGTTATGGGGGGTGGTGAAATTGTTTTAAAGAATTAGGAGGATTGGGAGATATGGCCTTGCTGAAAGAAGCCTGTCAACTTTGAGGTTTTAAAAGCCATACCAGGTCCAGCATCATCTCTTACCTACACATCAGGATACAGTTCTCAGCTACTGCCCCAGTGCCTGACTGCCTACCTGCCACCATGCTATCAGAAAGGACTAAACTCTGAAACTGTCAGCAAGTTTCCCAAGTAAATGCTTTCTCTTATAAGAGTTGCCTTGGTCACATAGCAACAGAAGAGTGTTAAGACACTCTCGTGCCGGGCGGTGGTGGCGCACGCCTTTAATCCCAGCACTCGGGGTGCAGAGGCAGGCGGATCTCTGTGAGTTCGAGGCTGGACCGACAGCCTCGAAAACAATACAGAGAAACCCTGTCTCTTAAAAACCAAAAAAAAAAAAAAAAAAAAAAAAAAAGACACTCGTACATTATTTATTACAAATGATATCAGACTACTCTGGGTATCAAAATAACGAGAGCAGGCTCAGTGGTGCAAGCACTCAGGGGGCAGACACAGGTGGATTTCTGGGAGTTTGAGGCCAGCCTGGTTTCAGCACAACTAGGATGACATAATACAGAGACTCAGTCTTAACAATCCCTCCAAAATGATAAAGAAAAAAAAATAAAGCTTTAACAATATTAGAACTTTGCCATCAGCCCAAGAGCATTTCCTACCTAACATTACCAAGCAGAGACAGGTGGATATCTGAGTTTAAGGCCAGTATGGCCCACAGAGCTAGTTCTAGGACAGCCAAGGCTCAAGGCTACATACACAAAACCAAAAGACACGCCAGCTCTGTGCTTTTTAGACCCACCTGCTGGCACTTCTTGAGAACATCTGGGGTTCGGTGCTCTGCCAGAGATTTATTGTAGAAATGGATGGCATCCTTGTACTTTTCTTCTTTGAAATAGGAATTGCCAATCCGGGCATAAGCTCTGATGAAGACAAGAGGCAAAGAGCAGTCAGAAGCAAGGTCAGACCTCAAAGAAAATACAAACCAGCTACAAGCAAAGCTGGCACTGACCTAGAAGCCCTACTTTCTCACCAAGGGTCTCAGCCCCACAACCTCCCAGCCCCCAGCATGGCGGGTTCAGTGCATACTTGGCAATCTGTCGGTAATCCTCTCGGTTCTCTCTGCCCACTTCAATTGCCTTCTCACACAGCTCCCGGCATTTGTTATAGTCACCTTTCTCAAAGTGCACAGCTGCCAGGCAGAAGGGCGAGAAACTGTCAGTCCTTGCTTCTTCCCTCAAGAGTGCCTACTAGTTCTCTTGTCACTGGTTTTTGGACCTCACCTGCTTGATTAGTTATGTAAGTCATATTGGTGGGGTCCAGCTCCTTGGCCCTGTCATAATGCTTCAAGGCCATGTCAAAATCTTTCTTCTTGTAGGCTTCATTTCCCATTTCTTTTTCTTTCAGTGCCTAAATGGAGTTGGAAAAGTAAGTGCTTACAGCAACAGCAGCAGGGCCCATGCTCTGTAACAGTTACCATGTGCCACCAACATAACCAGAAGTTCTCCCTTGAAAAGGTCTCTTCACACACTAGCCAGAGTCAAGTGAGTGAAGGTTAAAGGGAGCTTTAACTTCACTTCCTGACTCTGAAACCAGTTTTTCTCATCTTGGATCTTTACCAGCCAGCCAAGGGCTTCTCTGAGGGAAAGGAAATCTCTAACTCAAAGCAACTGAAGATGGCAGGTTTTTAGCCACAACAAGCCAGCTGTTATGGCTACCTTGAGATCTTAGCCGTTAGGGAAGAGCAGGCATGGTAAGAGGATAGGAAAGGGCCACACAGGAACAGCAGAGTCTTCAGCATCGCTCTTTCAACCCACACGGAGGGCCTTTTTCCAGCTGAGACACCCGGAGCAACCAACACTCACCCATTTAAGGGTACTAAATTTGGCACAATCTGCTGTTCCTGACTACAAGGAGGCAAACAGTTCTTCAGGTACATGTCTTCTGCTCAGGAAGAGTGTTGCAAATGGACACCCCACCATCTACCACATCCAATCAGGAGGCCAAAGCCTTAGGACTGATGCAGACACCATACCCGGATCACAGCAGGGACCTACATCCCTGACAAGGTTTTTGTGTAGCCCTGTCTAATCTGGAACTCACTCTACAGACCAGGCTGACCTCAAACTTATGGGCCTCCTGCAATCACAGGCATTCTTTCTAATGTATTTTATATACCTATCAAAAAAATATATTTTTCAGCTGGTCGGTTGCGGCATACGCCTTTAATCCCAGCACTTGGGAGGCAGAGAGGCAGGTGAATTTCTGTGAGTTAGATGCCAGGCTGGTCTAGAAAGCTAGTTCCAGAACAGCTGGGACATTACAAAGAGAAACCCCAGGGTGTGTGTGTGTATTCTGGGGGCTGAATGGTTGGTTAAGAGAACCCAGTCCCCAACACCTACAGTGGTTCACAACCAACTATTCATCTGTTAATTCCAGTTCCAGAGGATCTGACACATTTTTTTGACCTCCACAGATACCAGGCATGCATGTGGTACAGATACATATATGCAGGCAAAACACAACAAAAGGGCAGGTGTCAGTGACACACGCCTTTAGTCCCAACATTCCCAGGTGGATCTGAGTTCAAGGCCAGTCTGATCTATAAAGAAGAGTTCTAAGATATCCAGGTAAACCCGGACACAAAATAAACTTAAATTTTTTAAAAGTTCTTTTTTTTTTGTTTTTTTGAGACAGGGTTTCTCTGTGTAACCGTGGCTATCCTGGAACTCAGAGAGAACTTCCTGCCTCGGCCTATAGAGTGTTGGGATTAAAGGCATGAGCCGCCGCCACCACCACCTGGCTAAAAGATTTATCTCAGTGTTTTGCACACATGTACATCTATCTATATACCACATGCATGCCTGGTGCCCAAAGAATTTACAGAAGGTTGTAAGCCACCAAGTGAGCGCTGGAAATCAAACCCGAGTTCTCTGTAAGAACTGTTCTTAATCACTGAGCCATCTCTCCAGGCCCCTATTAATTTATCTATGTGCCACGGTGCATGTATAGAGGTCAAAGGACACCTTGCAAAACAGTTCTCTCCTCCTACCATGTGAGTTTCAGGGCAGGAAATCAGATTAAGTTTGGCAGCATTGCCTTTACCTACTGACTAAGCCATCTCACTGGCCCTCTGATGTATTGTAACTATTTTTTTTTCCCTTTCAAGCACAATTTTATTATGTTGCCCAGACTAGTCTCAAAACACCAGCCTGGTCTACAGAGAGAGAGTTCCAGGACAGGCTCCAAGACAATACAGAGAAACCGTGTCCTGAAAAACCAAATAAATAAACAAAAAGTACTCAAAACTATGAGCTGCTAAAGTTCTTGCCTTGCAGACGAAAGAATCTGAACTTAATTTCCCAGAATTCATGTAAAGAGGATTACCAGGGTCTTTACCAGGCTTACCCGGAGGCTAAAGATATATAGCTTAGTGGTTAGGAGCACTGGCTGCTCTTCCAAAGGGCCCAGATTCAATTCCCAGCACCCATATGGCAGATCACAGAAGTCTGTTAACTCTAGTTCTAGGGAATTCAATGCCCTCATACTGACTGACATACATGCAAAGCAAAACACCAATGCACACAAAGTTAACAAATGAGTAACCAGCCGGGCGTTGGTGGCACACGCCTTTAATCCCAGCACTCGGGAGGCAGAGGCAGGCGGATCTCTGTGAGTTTGAGGCCAGCCTGGTCTACAGAGCAAGTTCCAGGACAGGCTCCAAAGTCACAGAGAAACCCTGTCTCGAAAAACCAAAAAAAAAAAAAAAACTAGACAGATATGATAGATAAATAAAAGAATTAAATCACAAGGGTGATAGCCCTGAAGAGATGCCTCAGCAGTTAGGATCCCACACAGTGACTCACAACAACAACAACAACAACAACAACAACAACACACACACACACACACACACACACACACACACACACACACACACTCTCACTCACTCCAGATCCAAGGATCTGACACCCTTTCCTGGCTTCCATGGGCACTAGGGATGCATGTAGCACAGACACACATGAAGTAAACACTCATACACATAAACTAAAAATAAACCACATACCTTTAATGCCAGTATCTGGGAGGCAGAGGTAAGTGGATCTCTGAATTTAAGGCCAGTCTAGTTTATACAGTAAGACCCTGTTTTCAACACTAACAATCAACCAAACAAAACATGAAAAACTCACTAATTCCAGCAACTGGGAAGAGATTCATTCTGAGTTTGAAGCCAGCCTGGGATACAGAATAAAACTGTATCTGAAAGTGTCAAACCCAGGGCTTCATGCATACTAGAGGCAGGCATTCCACAAACCGGGCCCTATGCCCAGCCCCATTCTCATTTCTCAGCTACATTCTGCGGACATGCCCAATTAATACTCTTATTTCTATCTAATTGATTTGGCTAAGTGTAAATACATGGTAATTTAGAGGAGAAAAAAAAAAAACACACAAAACAGAACCTGTTTCTTATTCTCTGGAAGATCTTCTTCCATTGGTTCTGGCTTGGCCTCCTTTTTGGGAGGAGGTGGAGGTGGGGGTGTTGCTGCCTCTTCCTCTTCATCCATACTGCCCAGATCAACCCCGAGGAGGACACTGAGAGTAGTCATGACCCGGGGATCCTGTATTTTCCTGGATTGATTAAAAAAGAAAAGCCAGGCGTTGGTGGCACATACCTTTAATCCCAGCACTCAGGAGGCAGAGGCAGGCAGACCTCTATAGAGCGAGTTCCAGTATATAGGATACTATCCAAAACAATACAGAGAAACCCTGTCTCGAAACCCCCCCCCCCAAAAAAGAAAGAAAATGGGCTGGAGAAATGTCTCCACAGTTAACAAAGTAAACTGCTTTTGCTGAGACTCAAGTTCCTTTCCAGAACCCATACTGAGTGGCTCCCAACATTCTGAAATTCTGGCTCTAGGAGACTCCAACATCTCTGGCCTCCTAAGGCATCTGCACTCACTTGTACATTCCCAATGAGACAAACGCACATAATTTAAAAGAATAAAAATGAATAATTTCAAAGAGAAACAAAGGCTTGAAGAGATGTCTCAAACCTTTAAAGAGTGCCCATGGCTTTATGAGGGCCAGAATTCAGATCCAATCACCCACATCAGGTGGCTCTCATATACCTATAACTCCAGCTGAAGGAGAAAAAAAAAAAGTCTTTACAAAAAGCAAGACAAGGCTGGGTGGTGGTGGTACATGCCTTTAATCCCAGCTTCAGGAGGCAGATCTCTGTGTTCAAGGCCAGTCTGGTCTACAAATTAAGTTTCAAGACAGTCAGGGCTATATAGAGAAACCCTGCTTAAAAAAAAAAAAACAAAAACAAAAAAACAAGATAACTGATGTATAGTGGTACATCCCTTTAATCTGGCAGTCAGAAGTTTCAGGCTGCCTGATCTACATAGTGAGTTTCATAATAGCCAGGGCAATGTAGAGAAACCCTGTCTCAACAAACAAAAAAACAAAAACACCCAAGGTAGCCAGAATTACAGATGTGTACCACCAAGCCTGCGTTCTACAATTGCTCTCACTCTTAACAGATTACTGTACATCGATGATCCTTACCCAATGACATTGACTAGAGCCTGGGGTGCAGCTCAAAGATAGCATTTGCTAAGCATGGGCAAAGCCCTAGGTTTGATCCTCAGGGCTACAAAAATAAGCAAAGCTAGAATTCTAGAAGAGGCAGGGTTGTAGGAAACATTCCAGAGTGCTATTATTATAAGCTACTCAACCATTTCTATACAAATAACAAAATCTGCCCTACTCAGTGGTGAGAAAGCAAAGGCAGAAAAACCTGTGGTCTGGACCAGAGAGCTTCTGCCAGAGTCCTGATGCCTCTACTTACGTGCCCAGGTCTGAAGGCTTGCTCCGTAGCTGTTCTATGAGTTCCCGGTAGGTAGGGTCACTGAGCAGTGTCCTTGTCCTGGGATCGCTCTCCAACTTCTGGTACAGATTAGGCAAGTTGAAAGGATTCATGTATTTCCTCTCTGTACAAATGACAAAAAGTACTTCAGTATGAAATGTTTACTTGAGATACCATGACATCACCTACCATCACCACCTTGACTTTGGGGAGGGCAGTATTGTTTTCAAAATTAATACCATTACATAAAAGAGCACCTACCTGCCAACCTGGCCTCCATGTTCTGCAAGCCCTCCTTGAGCTGGAGGTTATTGGCTTCATGTTTTAAACCCTCTTCATAGGTTCGCTTGGCTTCTTCGAACCGGTTTAGGAACTCAAGGGCTGCTGCTTTTCTTGAATAACCCTTAGTATTCCCAAACAATACAGAAAATAGAGGTCATGCACAGGTAAATTCATATCAACTCAAAAAAAATCTACTGGGGTTTTTATTCACATAAAGAATACAGGTGTTCTCCCTTAGTGTGTATCTGTGTGTGCCTGGTGTTTACAGAAGAGGATATTGGGATTCCCTGGACCTGGAGTTAAAGACAGTTCTGAGCCACCCTGTGGGTACTGAAAATTAAACCCAGGTCTTCTGGAAGAGCTGCCAGTACTCTCAACAACTAAGTCATCTCCCTCCTAAGACAGGGTCTCATTATGTAGCTCCACGTAGCCTCAAACTCCACTTGTCTCTAATTCTGGGACTAAAGGTATGTACTTTTAAGTCCCAGATGATACTCACATGAAGGCCAACCAGCAAATAGAGAAAGGATACAATACCAATGCTGACACTAAAAGGATTCAGACAAAGGTGCATAAATCCCCATGTAACCCACAATTACAAGTGGTCAGTTTCTTTAGAACTGTTTTATTTCTTAGCAGTACAACTAACAAAACCTGTTTACTATCGATGGTAACAGACTTAGTGAAATAATGTTAACCTTCATGGGGTACCTTCAGACAGGGTAGGCAGACAGGTCAGGAAGGCCTGCTAAAAAGGGACTACAGACCAGACCCAAAGTCCTTGGGAAAACTGTGCAGAGCCCAACTCTTCAGCTTACCTTGCCCCAGTCAGGCTTCAGGTCAACAGTCTTGCAGCCATCCTCATAGGCCTTCTGGTAGTCTCCTTTCTTGGCATAGGCTGCAGAGCGATTGCTATAGAGCACATGGTTCTGGGGATCTAGCTTAATTGCCTCAGAGTAGCACTGTAAGGCATCATCAATGTTCCCAGCACTCAGGGCCTTATTGCCCTTCTCCTTTAGCTCATTCACCTGAGGAAGAAAGGAAGGCATCAATATAGCTTCACTCCATAGAACATTCACTCTCTCCCATAGGGTGTTAGATTATACTTACTCTTCCTAAGAGTCAACTAGCTGGCTACTACTTATCAATAGAGAAAAATAACCCATCCACATTCTCCCACACCCCTGGAAGCTAGCAGGGCAAACATAGGAGCAGGAAGACTTCAGGTCAGCAGAGAACTCAGCCCCTCTAGAGCACACAAGATGGATCAGAGGTTAACAGTACTGACTACTCTTCCAGAGGTCCCGAGTTCAATTTCCACAACCACATGGTGGCTCACAACCATCTATAATGAGATCTGGTGCCCTCTTCTGGTGTGCAAGCATACATGGAGGCAGAAAGCTAGATTAAAAAATAAATAAATAAATAACCACTTGTCAGCTGGGCGATGGTGGCGCTCGCCTTTAACCCCAGCAGACGCAGGCGGATCTCTGTGAGTTTGAGGCCAGCCTGGTCTAGAGAGTGAGTTCCAGGATAGCCTCCAAAACAATATAGAGAAACCCTGTCTTGAAAAACAAAACAAAGAAATCACTTGTCAACACCTTCCAAAGAGCTGAATGAGTGCAGAAAGAGCTAAGCATACTCAAGATAACAGCCAGCATAGTGGCACAAATGTGTACTCCCAGTACTCAGAAGGCTGAGGCTGAAGAATCCATTACAGGCTATTGAGTTACACCAGAAACCAGTTTCAGAAAACTCAAGACGGGGGCCAATGAGGTGGCTAAGTGTGATAAAACACTCAAGCCTGACAATCTAAGTTTGATACCTGGTCAGTAAATGTGGAAGAACAGAAACAACTGCAAAGTTGTCCTACACCCCCCACCATGTGCACACCTGCATGCACACGTCACACACTCTCACGCATGCTACACTTAGTGCCCTACAAGCTTCAGGCTAAGAGGCCTCCATTCCTCTATGCTTATTATGACTACTGCCATAATTCATTCTCCAGTTATCAGCAAGAGCCAAAAGGGAGTTTACTGTGCTGACTCTTAAGGGCAGAGCTAGTCCCTATCACTACTTTTACTATTACTCTATCAGGAAGGAAGATAAATATCACCTAATCCCCTCCTCTCAGTTGCCGAGGAGCTTCATGAAGTAAAAAGACCTTGCTTAAGCAGAGTTCACCACGAAGCCACATTTTTTCTTTCTTCCCTTCAAAACATTTGACAGTGTCAGTTTAATTTTAAAGACTAACTGGGCGTTGGTCGTGCACGCCTTTAATCCCAGCACTCGGGAGGCAGAGGCAGGCAGATCGCTGTGAGTTCGAGACCAGCTAGCTCCAGGACAGCCTCCAAAGCCACAGATAAACCCTGCCTCGAAAAACAAAAACAAAACAAAAAACAACAAAGAAAATCGAAGACTAGCCTTGAACTTGTGATCTTTTTGTTCTGGCCTCCTACTAGTTAAGATCAGAGAAAATGGGTCTTCTTTTCATTATCTCTATATATAAAGGGTTATTATTTTTTTTTTTTTGGTTTTTAAGAGACAGGGTTTCTTTGTATTGTTTTCGAGGCTGTCGGTCCAGCCCAGCCTCGAACTCACAGAGATCTGCCTGCCTCTGCCTCGAGTGCTGGGATTAAAGGCATGAGCCACCACCGCCCGGCTATAAAGGGTTATTCTTAACAGGGCTGACCTACAAAAGGTCAAGAACTCACACACCTTTAATCCCAGCACATGGGATGCAGAGGCAGGCAGATCTCTGAATTTTAGGCCAGCCTGAGTTATAGAACAAATTCTAAGACCGTCAGGAATACACCAAGAAACACTGTCTGGAAAAACAAAACAACAAAACCATAAAAAACAAATGCCAAAACTTCTTATAGGCCTAACTAAGCAAAAACTATATCTTCACAGCTATTTAAAATGCAAGCACAGCCTGCAAAATGAACAGCATAGGTAGGATACATGCACACTTATGCCATTGGGATGAGGATGTTGCTCATTTGGTAGCTGAAGCCCCACGGTTCAATTCCAGCACCAGGCATGGTGACACAGACATGCAGGATTTATGGGGTAGAGGAAGGAAAATAAGGTCAACTTTGGCTATGTACAGTAAGTATAAGTCTAAGGCTGGCCTGGATACACGAGACCCTAACTCAAGCAAGCAAGGCATCAAAGCTATATTAAAGTTATTACAACACCTATTATGAAATTGTCATCTACTCTCGATTCAGTAAACTGACAAAGAATTTACTTCTTTCAGATGATTTTAGAACCCGAAAACATACCACAGGAACTTCCATAGAGCAGAGATCCTAAAGAGAAGGCAGGCTGGGTCTGCCCTGTAATCTCAGCACTTAGGAAGAGAAAGGAGGATGACATGGGAGACTGCCTAAATTTCACTCCTTGAAAGACCAAGGGATAAAAAGGTGGAAAACGCCACTCCACTGATATTAAGAGGACGCTGACTGTTAGCTATCATCTACGTAGAGAAAGAGTTTCACACAGATCTAACATTCACCATAGCCCAGGTCAGCCTGTTGCCTCAGCTTCCTGAGTGCTAGGGTTATAGACATAAGCCCACATGGAAGAAGTATTTTTCAAATGAGTATTGACAGGAAATCAATTGTCAGGAATAAAACATATCCTGCTTTAAAAAAAACAAAAACAAGCCGGGTGTTGGTGGTGCACGCCTTTAATCCCAGCACTTGGGAGGCAGAGGCAGGCGGATCTCTGTGAGTTTGAGGCCAGCCTGGTCTACAGAGTGAGTTCCAGGGCAGCCTCCCAAACAATACAGAGAAACCCTGTCTCGAAAAACCAAAACCAAAACCACAACAAAACTAGGGGACTAGAAAGAATGCTCAGAGCCTAAGAGCATATACTATTTCAGAAGATCTAAATTCAGTTCCCTGCCAGGTGGCTTCCACATCAATGGCTACCATAGGTGCACAAAAATACATCTCTTTGATTTTAGGCAGGGCCTCTCTATGTAGCTCTGGCTGTCCTATAACTCCACTAAGTAGACAAGATTAGACTCAAACTCAGAGATATACCAGCCTCTGCTGGGATTAAAGAACTGACATTAAAAAATGAATTGGACTTGGCCAGGTGGCTCAGAAGTTAACAGCTCTTTCAGAGGACCTGGGTTCAATTCCCAGCACCCACATGATCGTTCCAGATGACCTGACACCCTCACACAGACATACATGCAGGCAAAACAGCAATGCACATAAGATAATGTGCTTTGAAATTGTTGAGACAGGATCTCACTACACAGCTCTGGCTGTCCTGTTATTTCTCACAGAGACCAGCTTGCCCCTGCCCCAAGAGTATTGGGATTAAAGGCATGAGCCATCATGCCTGGCAAAAATAAACCTTAAAAAAAACTAAAGCTGGGCAGTGGTGGCACACGCCTTTAATCCCTGCACTCGGGAGGCAGAGGCAAGAGGATCTCTGGGAGTTCCAGGCCGGACTGGACCGATAACCTCCAAAACAATACAGAGAAACCCTGTCTCAAAAAACCAAAAAAATAAAAAAAAAATAAAAGTAAATTATACATCATTTTAGGATTTACCTGAAAAAAACTTCCTCCTCCAAATACACAATTTTCTTTCCTTCTTTCTTGATTGTTTGAGACAAGGTTTCTCTGTAGCCCTGGCTGTTCTGGACCTTGCACTTTAGACCAGGCTAGCCTCTGCCTCCCAAGTGCTGGGATTAAAGGTGAGCTCAAATGCACAATCTTCAAAGTTCACATTTATTTCTTGTGTGCATGCCAGTGGACAGAAGTTGAGGTCACGGTACCTTCCTCTATTGCTCTCCACCTCATTACTTGAGACAGGGTCTCTCAATGAGTCTGGAACTCAGACTGGCTAGTGAGCTCTGAGATCCTCCCTTCTCCCTAACTTTGTGGGTGGGTGCTGACTATCTGAACTCAGGTTTATTATTACTTTTTTGGTTTTTCAAGGCAGGGTTTCCCTGTATTGTTTTGGTGGCTGTCCTGGAACTTGCTCTCTAGACCAGGCTGGCCTCGAACTCACAGAGATCGTCCTGCCTCTGCTTCTGCAGTGCTGAGATTAAATGAGAGCGCCACCATCCGGCCTCAGGTTCTCATTCTTACACATCAAGCTTCTTACCAATCTGCCTAACTTTAAGGTTGCAGTCCTGAGTCTACATTGAACATTTGCACACTTGTACAATGCTGGCAGAATTTTCTTACTGAGGGAGTGGGGTGAACATACAGCTCTGTGGTAGATAAGCTCTGAATGTTCCAGGCCCTGGATTCCCTAGCCAGCACCACATACTGAATGAAATGAACCAATGAATGAATGAAAAAAAAAATAACAGCCCCTTTTTGTTCTAATAGAGCAAAGTGCTGCTTATTCCAAAAGCGTTGTTTGTTTCTGGTCTGTACTTCATTACTTCAAGGGCACAAAAAGTTGGTTAATCTCTCCATTTCCAGTCTTACCAATGAAGCAGGGAGGCCCCACAGTCCCATACAGTGGCTATTCCAGAACAAAAGATTTTACTTCGTACATCGTACTAAAAGTAGTAAGCTGTTCTCTTTTTTGTGCGCATTTGGATGAATCACGACGATTCAATGACTGCTTCCAAGGTAACAAAACCTCTCCAGGTCTCTCACAGCTGCGGGCGCCACCGTGGCCTGAGCTAGTCACTAAGGGCAGTAGAAATGCCTATGTGCCCTAGATGCTGAACGAGAGGCAGGGACTTGTAGCTGTTCACTATCGGCTCACAACTATCTATAACCACTAAACCCCGTGTAATCGGAATGCGAATTTCCTAGCGTCGGATTCCCAGTCACCACAAAAAAAAAAGAAAAAAAAAAGAGAGAAAGAGAGAAAGGGGGGAGGGACGACATATGCATCTCGAGCCGCAGCGAGACTCGGTGACACTGTCCGCGCCCGCCTCCCTGCACAGTCGCGCGGGTCCCTTTCCCCGGCGCACGCAGCTGCCGTGTTCCCCGAAGGACTGCCGGGGTAATCGGTCACCGGGTCCCTCCAAGTTCGTCGCCGCCGACTGAGACCTCCCGCGTTGAACCGGTCCCGCACCCAGAAGCCTCGGGGCCCGGCTGCGGCCGGGCCTGCTCCCGCTCCTCTCGGCGGGCCGCGGGGGCGACGGGCACTCGCCATTCTCCCCTCACACGCCCGACCGCGGCCCTCACGCCCTCGCCTCGGTCGCGCGGCACGGCCCCCGACCCCTCGCTTCTCCCCGCCGCCAGGCCTGCGCTGCCCCGGGGCCCCGGCCGCCCCTCCCCCTTCACCTGCTCCATAGCTTGGCCCGGAACCCCGTTGAATCGAATTCGTCCGCTCCGCGTTCCCAACTGCACGCGCCGCCTTCTGGAACCTACTAGAAGCTGCCGGGACCCCTCCCCCTCGTTCCCTCCCCTTCCTCGCCTGCTCACTGGTTGAATGCTCTATGCTCCTTTTCTATTGGCTTAAACTCCAGTCAATCATTTGGCTTCTCTTTCATTGGTTCTCTGTGGGTCTTCTCGCTGACCCTGTCTCCTCTGCACTTCGGGATTGGACGCTCCTCAACAAGGGAGGAGCGTGCCTTGACGGCACGGATTGGTTAGTGAGCCCGTCAATTGTGGCTGACCTGGCCGCGCCCATTGGTCCTGTTCTTTCTGGAAATTTCCACGACTCTCATTGGACTGAAGGACTCCTTGACGGAACCGCCTTCAGAAAAAATAATTCAATTGGGTGGTGTGCGAGTCTGGGGCGGTGGAGATTGGCCATACTTGGCCCTGATTGGTTTAGGCCGCTGTCCTGTAAAGGGCGCTCGTCTGGTGGCTCGTGGGAGTCCTGAGTCTGGCCGGTTGTCGCCGAGGCTCTGACTGCATCTCTGTCCTCCGTAGCCTGCTGGGTTACCGTCTTGGCGGTCCAGCGTTTTCCCACATCCCGGCTACTAAGCTCCGAATGTGCCCAAGACGCCGCGGGGCGGTGACAGGCCTGTGCTCTGCCGGCGGTGGCTCGGCTGACCGGCCGGCTGCCTTGTCATCACGGGAGTCGTAATCGTCTCTGAATTCAGATGCAAGCTTTGGTGACCGAGGGAGGTCCTGCCAGGAGAAATGCCACTTTGGTTGCAGGTCCAGCGTGTGGTTCATGAAACAATGGAGGCGGAGGAGGGGCCTGGAGAGGGCTTGGATGAGGGGCTTTGGCTCTGTGGGGTCCTCTGTGCCAGGGGCGCCATTGCATATCCTCTCCATCCTGCTACCCCTTTTCTGTTCGCTCATACTTAGTTCCTCTGCCTCGTTTAAGATTACCAGAGGAAGAGGCTGGAGAGATGGCTCAGAGGTTAAGAGCACTGACTGCCCTTCCAGGGCCCTGAGTTCAATTCCCAGCAACCACATGGTGGCTCACAACCATCTATAATTCAATCTGATGCCCTCTTCTGGCATGTAGGCAGAACACTGTATATGTAACAAATAAATAAATCTTTAAAAAAAAAAAGATTACCAGAGGAGAACCGGGCAGTGGTGGCCCTGCCTTCACTCTTCACTCCCAGCACTGGGGAGGCAGCCTGGTCTACAGAATGAGTTCCAGGACAGACAGCCAGGCAGAGCTACACAGAGAAAGTCTGTTGGGTTGGAGAGGTGGCTCAGCAGTTAGGATGATATCCTGCTCTTTAAAGAACCCTAGTTCAGCGCCACAAAGAGCAGCTGAACCCATCTGTAACTCCAGCTCCAGGGAACTCCACCCTCTGACCTCCATGGTCACCTGCCCGTACACACAATTTAAAAATAGAAATTAAAGCCGGGCGTTGGTGGCACATACCTTTAATCCCAGCACTCGGGAGGCAGAGGCAGGTGGATCTCTGTGAGTTCGAGGCCAGCCCGGTCTACAAAGTGAGTTCCAGGACAGTCTCCAAAACAATACAGAGAAACTCTGTCTCGAAAAACCAAAAAAAAAAAAAAAAAAAAAGAAATTAAAGCCAGGCGTTGGTGGCGCACGCCTTTAATCCCAGCACTCTGGAGGCAGAGGCAGGCGGATCTCTGTGAGTTCGAGACCAGCCTGATCTACAAGAGCTAGTTCCAGGACAGCCTCCAAAGCCACAGAGAAACCCTGTCTCCGAAAAAAAAAAAAAAAAAAGAAATTAAAAAAAAACAAAGACTGTATTTTCTGGTTACTTTTCTATTACTGTGAAAAGACACCATGACCAAGGCAACTTATAAAAGAGTATTTTTGAGGCTTACAGTTCCAGTGGCTAAGTCCATGATCATCGTGGTGGGTGGTATGGGCGCAAGAAGGCAGGCGTGGTTTTGGAGCAAAAGCTAAGAGCTTACATCTGGTCCACAAGCACAAGGCACACAAAGAGAGATGGGTGGTGGTATGGGCACACCTCCTAATCCTTCCCAAACTGAGATCCAAGTATTCAGATATATGAGCTTCTGGGGGGGCATCCTTATCCAAGCCACCACACTACATGGAGGCGCATACCTAATCTCAGTGCTGGAGAATGTGAGACGGGGATACCTGCACTTACTGGTCAGCCAGCCAGTTTAGGAAACTCTGGGTAAGCTCCAGGTTCAGTGTGAGACCCTGTCTCAAAAATAAAACTGCCTCTGTGTGTGCACGTGCGCGCACGCATGCGGGTCCGTGAGTCTGCAGGACAGCCACAGCTACACAGTGAGACCTTGTCTCAAACCCTCAGGAAAAAAAATAAGTAAATAAAAGTGGAGGGGCTGAAAAGATAAATGTGTTGGCAGTTAGGAGACCTTACTCCTCTTGCAGAAGACTCTGGTTCAGTTCCCCAAACCACCATGGTAGCTCACAACTGACCAAAAACTCCAGTATAAGGGGACAGAGTGACCTATTCTGGCCTCTGAGGGCACCAGACACACGGATGCTGCACAGGCACATACAGGAAACACACACACACACACACACACACACACACACACACACACACACGCAAGCTTAAGAAAACCATGGAGAATAATTGAAGAAGACACATTGTCTTTTGACCACCACATATGCGCACACACATGCACATACACAGTTAAACAAGGTGTGGGTCTTTAGATGGAGAGTGTTGGGGCACTCTGAAGCTTAAGTTCCTAGTGTCACTGTAAAGTCATACTCAACACTTGGAAATGTGAGCTCTCATCAGGTTCACTGCCTTGCTTCCCCACATCTCTAACATGAGCTGAGAGTAGTGCCAGGGAAACCAATGTCCTTTCCCCTCTCAGGTCCCTAGAACAGTGTCTACATTGTCTGGCCCTGTGCATCCTGAGTGTCCCTGTGTGATTCAGGCCTGTGTTCCAGAATATTGCTGTTCAGGATGAAGGGAGGAAAAGGATTCTAGGAGGTCTTCTTGTGTTGGAGTGAGGATTTGAGATAACCCTGGCTTCCTTCTCCTAACGGAGGAAAAGATTCTGCTGAAGGTTTCTTTAAGGTTCACTATCCTCAGTGGTCCTGACTCCTGGGGTCTCCTTCCTGCAAAGAGGCTGAATTCTGATGAGTTGGGAAAATTGGGGGAGAAAAAAAGGAGGGGGAGCTCTCTCCAGTTCCTGTGAACCTCCGAGAGTGCCAGGCCCTATGCCAGATGCTTGCAGGACCAGAACAATGGTAATTATCTAATCATTAATTAGACAGCTGAGGGCAGCATGGGGGCTGGGTGTCTCCACCAGCCTCATGCCTATAAATACCATCTCAAATGACTCCTAAAACTCCAGCTTCATCTCAGAGCATACTCCCAGCTTCCAAGTTTGTGTGACTAGTTTCTGATTTCGTCCCTTTGTGTCTGGCAAACACCCTAGTATTGTTCTCCAGTCTGCTAGCCGCTCAATGGTGGACATCACTAGCCCCCTCCAGTAGTTTTCTCTGGAAACCGAATGCATGTTTGATTTTGATTTTTTCAGAGAGCTCTAGCTGTGTAGCCCCAGGGTGACTTTGAACTTGGAATCCTTCTGCCTCAGCTTCCCAAGTTCTGGGATCACAGGCTTGAACTACCATGTCCAGCTTCCTTGTGTCCTCTCATTCACACCCCACACCCAGCCCACGAGCAAGTCCCATCAGCCAGAGGGGACCTGGCACCCCCACCTCTGACTGCAATGGGGAAAAGTGTGTTGACTCCCTGATGTGGCAGCCAGAGCGAGAGGGGACACGCTGTAGGATTTTTGCAATGTGCTCCCCAGCCTGTTCTTCAGGTCCTGTCTTGAGCCAGGTGTGCAGCAGGGTAGGTGATAGGTGGGGCTTTTGCCTTCCCTTCAGAAGACCGACCACCTTGGCCATGGCAAACAGGAGCTGAGAACCCCCTAAAGGTTAGGGAGTCACATCGTCTCTCAGTTGGGCACCAATGCATGAGGGAGGAGCCTCAGTTTCGGACACTGGGATATGTGTTTGCCCACATGTGTGTCTATACACCAGTGAGCGCCAGAAGAGAACGTCAGATCCCTGGAACTGGAGTTCCAGGAGATTATGAACCACCTTGTGGGTGCTTGAAACCCACACCAGGTCCTCTGTACGAGCATAAGTGCTCCTAACCACTAAGTAACCACATAAGTGCTCCTAGCCACTAAGCCACCTATTCAACCCTGTCTTTTGGCTTTTTAAAAAGTTTTTAATAATTTATTTATATTTTATTTTATGTGCGTTGGTGTTTTGCCGGCATGTATGTCTGTGTGAGGCTGTCAGATCTTCGAGTTACAGACAGCTGTGAGCTGCCATGTGGGTGCTGGGAATTGAACCCAGGTCCTCTGTAAGAGCAGTCAGTTCCCTTAACCACTGAGTCATCTCTCCAGCCCTTAATTTATTTTTTTAGGACAAGGTGTCACTACGTATGTAGGGAAAAGGGGCCAGTCAAAGAAACACACCCTGAGCAGAGCCAAAGGGACACACTTTGGCCCTACAAACCAGAACTAAAGAAATGTACCCTGACCCTGAAACCAGTGCCAAAAGAACACTCTTTGTCCCTGGAATCAGAGTCAGCTAAAAAAAATGCACCCTGGCCCTAAAATTGGAGCCAAAAGGCTAAAAAGAACCAGAGAAAGAAACACACTTTGGCTCGGAAACCAGAGCCAAATCTGACCCTGTGCAGAAAACTAACCAATCCCTGAGCAGAGCTCTAGCAAATCTGAGCTCAGCACTAAAATCTGATCAATCCCCACCCTGGAAAGCCCTATATAAACCCTGTGTCTGTTCAGCTTGTCTGTTCACTCTCCTGGATTCTTCCCTTCCAATAAACGCATTCAATGAGCTTTGGGTGAAGATCTTCTTTTGCCTCCGTGACGGAGCAGAGGCGACCCTGGGCAGAGCAGAGTGAGCAGGGCTGTAACATTTGCCCAGGGAAACCTTCCCTTGGCAGAGTGTAGTTAGAATCCCCTCTCCAATCCACTCTCCAGGAGCAGAGCTGAACTGTAGCAACTTC